ATGAAAGGAAATCCCGCAAGGCCAAGGAGGATCGGCGTGCTCCTACGGCATCATCACGATCTGCGTCTTCCTCCCCGCGTGCCTCTTCGCCGTCGGCTCGGCTGCGTGGCCCTCGCGATTCTCACGGTGCTCCTGACTACCGTGAGCGTGACCGCATTCGAGCTCGGGACCGCTACCTCCCTGCCGCTAGTGATGCTTCTGCTGAGGGCTCCCGACGCTCCCGCAGTGCTGGCCGTGGCACCTCTCCCGTCATCGTCGACAGCTCCAGCGGAACGCAGCACTATGGCATCGCCACCCCCAGCACAGCTGATGAGGTGCAAGTCCAGGCTCCGACTGGTACTATGGGAGCAACGGCAACGCCCTCACCGTCGCCCTGGCCGACTCCGCCTGCCCCGAGACCGTGGGCGACTCCTGGAGCTTCCGCTGAAGGCCGAGTACCTGATCCCTGGGCTACTGCGGCTGCGTCCAATGGCCCCACGTCTCATGATGCAAGTGGCCACGTTGCCCAGTCGGCTGACTCCTTCCAGGCTGAGGCCATGCAAGCGTTCACACAGAAGGCGATGGAGACCATCCTGGCGCAGCTTCCTGCAGCGCTCAGCGCGGCCACGGTGCCGCTCATGGAGAAGTATGAGGAGCGTTTCAACCAGCAGCTGCGACGCGCCGACGGGGAGATCCATGCACAGCGCGCTCGCTCGGACCTGCTCGACAACACCGTGGCGGGCCTCGCCCATCGTCTATCGCATTTGGAGCAGGAGCTCGACCTTGCAAAGGCGAAGCCGCGTCCCCCCATTGTGCCGAACCCAGAGCGGGACAGGGACGTGGACCACACTATCCTCACGGTGCGCGCCTCTTCTGCTGTGGCCAAGAATGCTGTGGCTGCGGCGTTGTCTCCATGGCTCACCGAGGCAAACGTCCCTCTCGGTGATGGTGTGGAGCTTCACGGAGATGATGCGGCAAAATCTGTTACTCTCGCGTTTCAAGGCCCCATGGAAGCAACCCGTGCATCGAGGCGGAGTCAGGCCCAGCAACAACTCCGTCTCTCAGACGGGTCCTGGCGCGCATTCCGCGTCGACGTGGGCGTTGAGGCAGTGCCGCTCCACATCTCCGCGGACAAGAACAAAAAGATGGTTGCCACAGAGATTGCATGCAAGAAGTTACAACGATGTCTCGCTGACCGTGGCATCCGCACACTCCTTGACAAGGACAATGGCCAACGTCTGGCCAAATGGGAGCCCTTGGTGCGAGTGCTCCCCTTGCCTGCGAGCAGAACCCCCAAGGTGGAATGGAATCTCTCTGCACTCGCAGACACCAGCCTGTCCAAGGAGGAGGCCAATGAGCTTGCTCGCCAGGTCTTCGACACGCGTGAGGTACGGTGGAGTGGGTAACGAAGTGTTTGGTGTTGGCTATCTGGCATTCACGACCTGGAACACGGGTGCCCTGTTACACTACAGACCAGCGATTTTGAGCAGGAAGCTCAGCTACCTGAGCAAACTGATGGGGGCTGGCAAAGTAGTGGCGCTACAGGAGATCCACGGTGGTGAACGTGCCATGGAAGAAGCTCTTCAGAGGATTCGCTGTACGACTCACACATGCTTCGTTTCTGATTCTGAGATGCCTCGGACAGGAGGCGTTGCCACCCTCGTCCCGAATGACCAGCGTGTTCGATCCAAGGGGAAGAGTTTCGCCGCTGGTCGGGTTCTGCTAGTTACTATACATAATTCAGAGGTAGACTTCACAATCTACCACTGGAACGTGCACAATTTTACCCTTGACGCCGGCAGCCTGAAGGAGATCCAGGCATGTATTCGGTCGCAACTACAGCGTGTGCGAGATCATCCCTTGAAGTGCACAGTTGTTCTCACTGGCGACTTCAATATTTCGGCGACGCCTATCGACCACCATCGTGGTGATGCTCACACCTGTACTCCAAGTTCTTCAGGTCGTGGGGGGCAGGATTCAGCCCTGCAAAGTCACCACCCCACGACCACATGCTCTCCGCGTTCGGCGTCGTCTGCGTCAACTCTGGCCACATGTACACCACCCTCTGGGCCATGGTTACCAAGTTCGGCATCTTCTTCGGTGTCTTCCTCTCCATCCTCTCCCACACCAGCGGCTTCCCCCAGTGCCGCGACTTCGGAGGGTACGCAGGGGCTGCAGTCTCTCTCATCGTCGTCGCAAGCCAGTGTGGGACAGCGTGGCGACTCGACCCTGCGGGTTGGCTCTACTCGTGCGTCCCGTCCTGGCGACTCGCACTGGCAGAAAATCTTCAGGGAGATGACGGAGCTCGCTTCAGAGGCTCCAACTCATTGGCACGCCTCGACTGCATGTGAGTCCAAAATCGATCGTCTCTTTGTCGCATCCCCACCATGGCTTCTTTGTCAGTCTGCCCAGCTTGTTTCGGTCCGTGATGAACCGCGTGAGTTGGCCCACCGGGGTATCTCTGATCACTCGCCTCTGGAGATCATCTGGCGCCCTCGGGATCATGCTAGAGCGAAACGCCAAAGGCCCCTTCCTCGTTGGGTGTACAAAGATAAGATTTACGCTCAGCTGGTCTCCCACATGGAAGCCCAGGTGCGGATTGAGGATCTCGCTTTTGACCCACCGCGCATGCTCGCTGCTGCTACTGCTGTTCGGCAGGCTGCAGGTCCTCTTGCACGCAATGCCATCTGTCGTGCAGCACCATCTTCTCTGACTTCTCGGGCCATGATTTCACGTTCGATAGCACGGTGTGTTTGGCGAGGTGACGTTCGTCTTGCCCGAGTTCTTCTCTTCCAGCACCCCTGGACACAGAGTCTCATACGTGTTGATGGTGAGGTTGTTTCTTTCATTGATCCTGGAGGCTTTCATGATCTCCATAGTCTGTGGCAACAGCAGGAAGCCGAATCTCGTCGAAAAGCGCTTGAGTCAGAGATCAACCAGTCGTCGTCTACCACGGTCAAAACTCGTCTTGCAGGGCGTCGTCGTGCGATCATTCGGTCTGCCCAGTTATGGAATCCGCTTTCTCGTCGTAAGTACTTAGCATCGGTCACGGCCACAGAGATGATCTCGATTTCGGAGATGCTGGCGGGTGGCTCACTGGCATCGGAACTTGTTCCTCCCTCCCAGGCCCCGATGGTGGACGCATTGGCCTCATACTGGGGCCCCGTGTTCTCCAAGACCCATTCGGTCCCCTCCTTCGCCAAGAAATACATAGACCGATTCAGCAGTTCAGAGGACTTCTCAGAGGTTCGTCCACCCGTCCTTCGTGATGTGGAGCGCGCACTTAAACAGTCGAACTGGTCCGCCCCTGGCCCCGACGGGCTTCGCTACGCGGCCTGGAGGTGTGTTTCGGGGTCTCGGGTTCTTCTTGAAGTTCTTCGCTGGATTGCTCTTGGGAATTTCATGCCATCCAATTTCACAGCGTTGCTGGCCGTCTTCCTCCCCAAGGACCCCAAGGCCCCCTCCCATGATCCTGATGATGGTGGCGTAGTTCGGGCCCCTGGGGATACCCGCCCGCTGGGTCTCAAGAACTCCTCGAACAAAGTGGTGTGCAGTGTACTGAACCAGACAATCAGCTGGGTGACGCAGAAGATTGGGGCCCCATCCCAGAGGGGCTTTATTCGGCGGCGCAACTTTCTGGATAACATTGTCGATATGGACCTTTACGCTCGATCGGCTAGTATTATGGCTGCGGTATCATCCCAGGCACCGTCGTTGATCGCGTTCGACTTCGCCCAGGCCTTCCCGTCGGTCTCCCAGGAGTGGCTCTTCCAATGTCTCGCCCGACTTCGCATTCCCGCCCCTCTGGTTCGCGCTCTCCGCTCCCTCTACCACTGCACCCCCTGCTACTTCGTTGGCGACTCCCCGACGTACCTATACCACATAAACTGAGGGGTGCTTCAAGGCTGTCCGTTGAGCGGCTCGCTTTATGTTGTCGCGAGCAACCCGTTCCTCCTGGACCTAGAACACTGTTTAGTTGCGCGTGGGCGTCTTCTGGGTGTCGTTCGAGCCTGTGCGGACGATCTTGGGGCGGTCCTCTTCCATAACAGAGCGTATCCACGTTTGGCTCGAGTATTTCGACATGCTTCGAGGTTTGCTCAACTACGTCTTAAGCCTGCGAAATGCAATGTGATACCTCTTCGTGACCCTTCTATGCTCGAACATGGGACATTACTTCGACGCCAACTTGTGAGTGCCGACCCGTCTTGGGCAGATTTTGCGATCGTTCTTGCTTGCACGTATCTCGGCTTTCAGATAGGACCTGGGGCCACTGATGACAGTCAATGGAGGCCCCTGTGCTCAAGCATGCTACTCGCACCACTGCGATCTCGACGCAGGGCGCTGGTCTCTCCACGGCTGCTACACTATATCGACAGAGAGCCGCTCCCACGCTGTCTTACGTGGCCCAGCTGGTTCCTCTTCCCTGGCGAGTCGGGCAACAGCAGCGATTCCTTCTTGCTCGCATCATGCGCACCCCCGCCAGCATGTTACGGACCGCCGACTGCTTTGCCTTGCACACGGTCAATGGCCCGAAGTTCAACTCTGTCTTCTGTATCGCTGCTGCCGCTCGTCTCCGTGCGGCCCTGGTCACATGCACGACATGGCGCTCTCAGTTGCAACGACATCGTGACCTTCTCTGGGAATATGGCACGTTCTCCCAGGCTACCAGTGCCACCTTGGCTCCGAACCTCTGGTCTGCGCCGCCTATTGCCTGCCGCTTGGAAGAGGCAGCGCTGGGCTTTCCGTCATCCCCACAGCTGAGAACTGGTGGGCAAATGGCTTTGAGCCTCTGGCGTGCAGGAGACACATCCGTCCCCGAGGAGGTGATCGAGTTCTTTCGCGCTGAGCCCAACCCCACGGATCTCCCATGGAGCCTTGCCCGTCGTGTTGCAATACCATCCGAAGCTCACGGTGCACCACTATCTAGAGCCCCCAAGTGGCAGGCTGCTTTCACCGACATCTTCCAGCGCGCGGTCTTTCCTGACAAACTTCTGGAGCTACTCGCCGCCCGAGTTCAGCGGCACTTCGGAATCCGCGATGTTTGCCGGCCCACAGTCCTCAGTCAACTGCATCTTATGCCAGCATCATGGGCATTCATTTGTGTGCGGTCATACCTCGGAGGATGGATCACCCACCGCCGAATGCAGCGTGAGGCGTGGTGTATATATGGATGTGGCGGTCCAGACTCTATGCGGCATTATCTGACGGAGTGTGATCGGTGTTTTCACTTCGGGGCCCTCGCTCTGCGTGAAGATCTTCCAGTCGAGATCGGACATCGACTTGGGCTACGAGGACCTACTCCAGCCTCTCTTATTGCATGCTATCACCACTATCGCTTGATGGCGGCGCGGCACAGTACCTCTCCGACCTATGCGCGTGCTCTGGAGCTGGTCCCCGCGGCGCGGATCGCCCTGAGGCTCCCGTTGCGTGGTCGGCAGCAGCTGGCGCTTCTTCGGCGCTCCACCCTGCGTGAGTCCATCGAGGCAGCCCGCCGATTCTGTGAAATGGACGACCCCACGAGTGAGGCTCGGGGCTCGGAGGTAGTAGGGTTCCCATCGCTTGTGTCGCCTCTGCCATCTCTCTCTTTGCATCCTCATGATCCCCTTTCTGTGCTTGGACCCTGTCGCGATGACGGGCTCATCTCATTTCGATTTGTCGATTACGACATGCCTCGCAATGCCGTGGGGATCAGGGTGCTCACTGCCGAAGAGCAGGCCTCGTATGCAGGCGTGTCCCAGACTCCCGCATCGTTGGAGTCAGCGCCTTCCCTCCCTCGATCCCTTCGCCCCGATGATGTTTCCTTCCCTCTCGATCCCATCCTTTTTCGCTTTGTTGATTATGATTTGCCACGCAACTGTGCAGGGATCAGAGTGCTCACTGCCGCGGAGCAGGCCTCATTTTCAGGCCCCCAGGCAGGCTTTGTCGCCCGCGCAGCCAGCGGGCGACACCATCTTCGGGAAGGCACCTGCGGCCTGCTCTCTCAAGGAGGGCAGCGTGGGAGGCAGGGCAGATGAGTAGAGAGGTGACGGATCTCCCCAGGTACGCTCCGCCCAGTACCCACGGCAACCCGGTGTCATGGAGCCGCCTCAGCACGTGGCGCAGCAAGCCCTCGTTGCGCTCGTTAAGGCCCTCGCACGTCCAGAGGTAGACGCTCGCAACCACCAAACCGCGGCCCATGGCAACCCAAGCCATTGCCGCCCGCCCCGCACTGCCAGCGGGCGAAACGTCACACGTATTGCCGCCCTGCACCGCGGCGAGACCGATGTGCTGCGGGGCTGCGATGGCGATGTTCCTACGTCGTCGCAGCCATGCCTGGTGACCACCGCTGCCGCAGGCGCCAAGCGCCACCCGCTGCTGGCCAATGACTTCTGCACCGTGGGGATGGCGTCGCTCCGGAGCAACGTGA